ATTTAGAGAGTTGGGGATTTAGAGAGTTGGGGATTTAGCGAATTGGGGACTTAGAGAGTTGGGGATTTAGCGAGATGGGGATTTAGCAAGTTTGGAATTTAGAGAGTTGGGGATTTGGAGAGTTGGGGATTTAGGGAGCTGGGGAATTAGAGAGTTGGGGATTTAGGGAGTGAGAGTTGGGGATTTAGAGAGTTGGGAATTTAGAGAGTTGGGGAATTGGGGAGTTGGGGATTTAGAGAGTTGGGAATTTGGAGAGTTTGGAATTTAGAGAGTTGGGAATTTGGAGAGTTTGGAATTTAGAGAGTTGGGGATTTGGAGAGTTGGGGATTTAGGGAGCTGGGGAATTAGAGAGTTGGGGATTTAGGGATTTGGGAATTTAGGGATTTAGGGATTTAGGGATTTAGGGATTTAGGAACTTGCATTTTGTAGGAATAGGAAATCTAGTTTGAAAATTCAGGGTTTTTAGAATTTGATGATTTTCCCCACTTCAGTAATTTCCCACATTTCCCACAATACTCCAGAATACTTTCAACCACATTTCAATCTTAATATCTCACCATTTCCACAGGTGTACATATTGAAGTTGCTGGACAACGTCTACAAACAAGTCGGTTTCAAAGATAACCCAGGAGATCCTCAACTGACCGTTTTCACTCGCATCGATGTGCTAACCTGGGCATGTAACTTCGGCCACGAAGATTGTATACAGAACGCTGTCAAACAGTTCTACAACTGGCGAAACACTCCGAATCCGACTCAAAATAATCCGTAAGCTACACTCTATACTTTCAGTCCCAACTGTGTCTCAAGACACCTTCATTCGTGAAATGAACTGACGTTTTCTTCGCAGTATATCGCCGAATTTGAAGACGGTCGTATACTGCACAGCTATTCGAGTCGGCGGGCAAACGGAATGGAACTTCGCCTGGCAGAGATATTTGGAAACGAATGTCGGTTCCGAGAAGGATTTGTTGTTACACGCTCTGGGTTGCACCAGGGAAACATGGCTGCTCAGCCGGTATTTGGATTGGGCGATCACGGAAAATTCTGGAATTAGGAAACAAGATGTCGGCCGGGTTCTCAGCTCCGTCGCCAGCAACGCCATCGGACAACCGCTTGCCTTCAACTTCTTTAGGAATAAATGGGCGCGACTTAGGGAATAGTAAGTTCTATTTGGAATTTTAAGGCTCTCAAGGTTAGACTTGGTGCTTTGAATCGGCATTTAAGTATAATTTGTCAGAATTATCAAATAACGCTGCTTGAAGCTCACTTGAAGCTCGCTGGGGGCTCCCCGAACCTCAAGCCCTTGTTAGCTAACTTTCGGCACTTTTGACAATTGTTCTTGGGGTTTTGAGCCATTCTAAGAAAGTTTGGTTCTATGACAAAAAGTCGTATCTCGCACGGTTTAGCCTGTGAGTGGTAGGGCAGGGGTTTTATAGTGTCTGGGGTACCCTACTCCCACAGACGCACTGTCAGCTATCTTTCGGCACTTTTGACAGTTGTTCTTGGGGTTTTGGGCCATTCTAAGAAAGTTTGATCCTCTGACAAAAAGTCGTAACTCGCACGGTTTAGCCTGTAAGTGGTAGGGCAGGGGTTTTATAGTGTTTGGGGTACCCTACTCCCACAGACACAGTCCCAGGCTCCTTTCACTACTTTTGACAGTTGTTCTTGGGGTTTTGGGCCATTCTAAGAAAGTTTAGTTCTATGACAAAAAGTCGTATCTCGCACGGTTTAGCCTGTGAGTGGTAGGGCAGGGGTTTTATAGTGTCCGGGGTACTCTACTCCCACAGACTCACTGCCAGTCACCTTTCGCTACTTTTCACAGTTTTCCTAGGGGTTTTGGCCCATTCTAAGAAAGTTTGGTCCTCTGACAAAAATTCATATCTCCCACGGTTCGGCCTGTACATGTATAGGCAAGACTGATCATGATAGAACTTCACATTACTTTGGCACAAAATAGGTACCTAATCAAAATCACCGAAAACTACACCAAAAATCTATGTTACAGCTTTGGAACATCCCTACTGACCATCAACAACATAGTCAAATCGGCCACGAGGGCAATAAACACCAAATACGAGTTGAAAGACGTAAGTACACAAAAACAGTAAACATCGACAGCAAAATACATGGTCATTTTTTTCTGTAGTTACTCGACTTCACAACGGAGCACAAAGAAGAGCTAGGAAGCGCAACAAGGACGATCCAACAAGCGATCGAACAGTCCGAAGCCAACATCCGATGGGTGAATGCAAGTCACGGCATAATTTATGATTGGTTAAAGAGAAACACCGCGTAACTCTGATATATCTTGCGGGTATTTTGCATAAAAATGGTGGAAATTTGCCGGAGAAAGTTCAGATCGAACGGGAACTGTCCAAAGCGATCTTCTTTCCAAAAGTATTAAATGTTTTTGTATGTTTTTGTAAATACGCGTCGTAGCGATGTACGGTCAGCCATTGAAGTTTTGGATCACGTGACTCGATGAGAACAGTGATGCCACCATAAAAACATGTTGGTACCACTGTGTTACAAGATCACTAACATTTACATTATTTTATTTCTTCACATTTATTATTGGAATGTAGTTTAATTTAATTGGATTTAAATATTAATCGACGAAAATTTTGTTTTAATTTATTCGTGACTATTTGTACACTGGTCCCTCGGATTATGTTTTTTTATTTGCAGATGATTGAATTTGTTTTTGCCTCCAACAATGAATGTTGAATAAAATGGTGTAAATGAAAGTCAATCAAATTTGGGGAATGATGGAAACTTTGATGGCGGACTGTGGGTACATTCGAGTGAAATGTAGGATTACTGGTTGTGGGAGAGTGGGAAGAGGTTTCCCTTGGTACTTTTTTCTGTAGTTTTATTTCAGAATTTGGGGATTATCAAATTTCCAAGTTTCTAAATTCAGAACTTCCTAAATTCCCAACTCTCTAAATCCCTAACTCTCTAAATCATCAATTATCTAAATTCCCAAATCCCTAATTCCTCAGCTCTCTAATTTCCCAACTTCCCGAAGTCCCCAACTCTCTAAATCCCCAACTCCCTAATTCCCCAACTTTCTAAATCCCCAACTCTCTAAATTCCCAACTCCCTAATTCCCCAACTTTCTAAATCCCCAACTCTCTAAATTCCCAACTTCCTAAATTCTCAACTCTAAATCCCCAACTCCCTAATTCCCCAATTCTCTAAATCATCAACTGTCTAAATTCCCAACTCCCTAATTCCTCAGCTCCCTAATTTCCCAACTTCCCAAAGTCCCCAACTCTCTAAATCCTCAACTCCCTAATTCCCCAACTCTCTAAATCCCCAACTCTCTAAATTCCCAACTTCCTAAATTCCTAACTCTCTAAATCCCGAACTCCCTAATTCCCCAACTACTCTAAATCATCAACTGTCTAAATTCCCAACTCCCTAATTCCTCAGCTCCCTAATTTCCCAACTTCCCAAAGTCCCCAACTCTCTAAATCCTCAACTCCCTAATTCCCCAACTCTCTAAATCCCCAACTCTCTAAATCCCCAACTCTCTAAATCCCCAACTCTCTAAATCCCCAACTCTCTAAATCCCCAACTCTCTAAATCCCCAACTCTCTAAATCCCCAACTCTCTAAATCCCCAACTCCCTAATTCCCCAACTCTCTAAATCCCCAACTCTGTAAATCCCCAACTCTCTAAATTCCCAACTTCCTAATTCCTCAGCTCCCTAATTCCCCAACTTCCTAAATCCACAACTCCCTGATTCCCCAACTCTCTAAATCCCTAAACTCGCAATTTCCCAAATTTCCAAACTACCCAACTCCAAATTCCCTAGCTCCTAAATCCCTAAATCCCCAAATTCCCAAATTCCTAAATCCACAATTTCCCAAATTTCCAACTCACTCAAATTCCCTAGCTCCTAAACTCCCCAAAGCCCCAAATCCCCTATAATAACCCATATTTCCCAACTTTCCCCCAGACTCTCCCTAAATTTCCCAAAATCCACCAACACGTGGCGCCCTCTACAATACCAAACCATAACTAAAACAATCCTACATTTGACTAGTCAGTACAGTAAAATAGATATTTAAATAGAGTAGCTCGATTCCAGTATATTCAAAAGCTAATGATTTCAGTATGACTTCAATTGTTTAACAAATTCTCGGATCATTCACGTACCCATGTAATTCATGGTTTTAACACGGAACATTTATATACAGCGACCTATGTTTTGTCCCGAATAGTACGTTTTCGTTGTTATTTAATCGTCACTCAGTTAAAAGTAATTTTAAGCATCTCTTACGTTATAATATCGATCAATTTTGCAAGTTTGAATCTCGAACTTTTTGTAATCATAGAAAGAACGTATATTATTCATTCTCGTATTATTTTATAAATTTAATATTGTCGGGTTCGATGATTTCAATTGCGCACAATTTTTTTTATGTATGGTGGCGCCACCTGTGTTCACTCTTCGTTTATTGCTTCATATTTTCTTTCTGATAAATTGTTCAATAATTATATAATTTTCTTTACTAATTTAACTGTCAAGCAACGTCCTTCTGCACTATCAATAATTTACATTTATATTATTATAAATTATTTAATCTTTTCAATGATAATAAGGTCTATGAGTGTCCTACAAATTTTTTGGCTATAACGATTGTTTATATATTTTTAATAATGATATACCGAATTTTGTTTGCGCGTCCATCTGTAAGAATGAAGCACGTAATGGCGGCTAGTTTCTGCAAGCAAAATGGCGGCTAGTTTCTGTAAGCAAAATGGCGGGTAGTTCTCGCAAACAAAATGGCGGCGCCACTATCTCGTACTTCGAATTCGTACAACATTCCTCACAACTGTTGATATATTTCCAAAGAGTCAAACGCAAAAGCGTGAACCGATAACCAACGTTGTAATTTTCTCTTGTTCCTAGAACAAGATGGTTGCCATGTATGCACAATGAAACCACGTCCTGTAAGTTGGCGTTCCAACAAACTGTATAATAACATTGTAACTTGGTTTCAATATAATAAAGTTGTATCGATTTTTATATTTTTTACTGCCTATTATATTGCATGCATAATTTTTGACAATATACACTGACGAAATTTTTTATTTAAGTATAATTTAAAATTTCGAGGACGGTTATAGTGCACTCTCCTTATATTGCCGAACCTTGAAGCTCTTATACTTGACTTTGCAACTTCTTTGTCCGCGTTTTCCTTTTGCACCACTCAACTAATTCAACCGGATGACACGGTTGACTATTTTTGCTTTAGCGTGAAATTTACTCGCTCGCTCAACATTGTTAGGTTAGGCGCGGAGCGCCTAATCAAACAGACCTAGTACAGAAAGACCATAGATAAAAAAGTCTCCATAATTTATAGAAAATAATACAACTCTATTTATTTAGCGATAGAATGAATACATATTATTTAACATTACATAAACTATATAAAATGTATTCAACAATGAATAACGCAACATTCCCTGAATATTGTTTAACGTTCGTTTAGTGACCTAATATGTACACGATTATCGAAAATACTGTTATGGAAAATATGCTTGAAGGCTGAACATTAACTGCAGCGTTCGGATGCAGGGTCTGAATTAAAAGCTTCAACTTTTCATCGATTATCGGTGAGTAGGTTTTGTACCAGAGGTCGTTTTTCTGCGCTGTTTTAATGGCAGCCTGCACCGCTGGTAAAATGTGCCTCACTTCTTCGTCTTTCACTCCGCCGAACTGGACGAGCTGCAAAATTCAAACGATTTAATAGATATGTTCAAACAGTACCTGAAAAAAGAGGCTATAATTAAATACCTTCGTTATTTGGCTGGCTGTTGACACTCGTGAAGCCACCTTAGAGATTAAACTGCGAACACCGTCCCAACTGTCATAGCTGAAACGAATCGCGGTTTAAATATTTTCTAGTTAATTTTCATATTTCTGCACATATCGTTATGTTCACTTTAGATGATTATAGAAATGCAAAAAGTTTCGCGAAATATCGCTTTTTGAAGGCGCAAAGTGTGTTTAAAAAGTTGAAGTGATCGTAAAGAGAATCCGCCATATTGATCTGAATCAGACGAGCCATTAATGGCGGGAAATTCAAATCCTATTTAACCTAACATATTATCTGATACAATACGAAACAAAATTCATTCATTTTGAAAACTCTGTCGCAGCTAGATTATTCATATTTTAGGTACTTACTAATCATATAATTTTTTATAATCGCTTATCAGGAAGTCCAATATCACGTCGACACCAGTTGATCCAGCATTGTAAATAGCAGCGAACACTGCATTGACGTCCTGCTTTCGGATTTGGGATGGTATAGTACGATTCAACGCGATTTGTATAAACCTGCAAGGAAGATAGAAAGTTATAAATCTAAATATATCGCCGAAATTAAAATTAAAATTAAAAAATTTGCAAACTAGAAATTTTTTAAGATAAATGAATAGTTTATATAATCTTTCAAACCTACTGGTTCAGTATTTCTCTGTTCTGCGCGCAACCAAGGGCGTCTAAAATGACTTTCTTCTCAGTAGCAAGCTCTGTCTTCTGGTATTGTTCAAACAAGAAGCGCCATTCTTTTTCATTGGCTATTTTCATAGCTGTGCAATAAACGGCCGCTCTTGCGTTCGGTGAAATTCTGTAAAGAGAAATAATTTGTCATATTTCTTAAGAACCATCTTAAACCGTGATTGCAAATGGCGGTTTGGCATCAGCTGAGCGTCAGCCATTTTTTATCTCCACGCGCCATCTCGTGTAAACATTGAAACGCATCAAAATGACAGACTCACCCATTTTTAAGACTTGAGCGCCATTCCCTGAACAGCTTCCAAGACGCCTTTATAAAATCCGCGTGCCTAATCCTGCACATCCAAGTTAAGATGAGTTCCCTGTTCAAGAGTTCCTGGTGGTCCTTCGTCAGATCATCCACAAAGCCCAGTTTCTTGAACACCTTAGAAGTCAGCAACTCAACATATTTTTTAAGCAATGCATTATTAGAATGGCCTTCATATCGTTGCGCAAGGAATTGCCACGCGTTGAAGAACGCCTTCCAAGGTAAATAATCCATCTCGTTCCTGAGGTACAACGAGCCGTCCAACGTCACGTTGTAAGACAAGTGGCCATCACGAGCGAGGTTGAACAGGTCGTCGATTATTTGGGCACGGTTCGTGACGTGTATGCCGCTGTGATTGTTTGCTGACAAGGCTCCAATCAGGTACATCCAAGAGTCGTAGTCGTAGTTCACTCGGTAGTAGCCGGTCTGTCGGATGTTCACGACGAACCAATTGAGGCTGCCTACGAATATCTCCTGCGGAGTTGGACCTAACCACACGTTCGTCGTCGTGTTCGCGAAGTTCGGACTTTTGCTGGTCGTGAAGGTGATGGGTATCCAGAAGGCGCCGGAATTTTCGTATGTGGTGTAATTTTTCTGGAATTGGTTTGTATTGTTATGTAGGAGTGTGTGCGTTAGACCACTACGCGGTGGATTATCACGCGTTGGACCACCACGCGATGGATTACCACGCGTTGGATTACCACGCGTGGGACCACAACGCGTTGGACCACCACGCGTTGTACTACCACGCGTTGGATCCCCCACGCGTTGCACTACCACGCATTGGACCCCCCACGCGTTACACTACCACGCGTTACACTGCCACGCATTGGACCCCCCACGCGTTGGATTCCCCATGCGTTGGATCCCCCACGCGCTGGAATCCCCACGCGTTGGACTACCACGCGTTGTACTACCACGCGTTGCACTACCACGCATTGAACTATCACGCGTTGGATCCCCCATGCGTTGGACCCCCACGCGCTGGAATCCCCACGCGTTGTACTACCACGCGTTGCACTACCACGCATTGGACTATCACGCGTCGGATCCGCCATGCGTTGGATCTCCCACGCTCTGGAACCCCCACGCG